TCGTGCGACATTCATGTTTGCTGTGGTTGGCCAAGTGCCTGTTGATGGATTATACAATTCAGCACTACTTAGAACAGAAGCACCGTCAAATCCACCAGCAACTAATACAAATCCATTTACTAATGTGGATGCTGTGTGAAATCTCCGTTTGACACTCATGCTTCCTGTGAGTATCCAAGTGCCTGTTGATGAATTGTACAATTCAGCACTATTGAGATAAGTAACATCGTTCTCTCCACCAGCAACTAATATTAATCCATTTGCTAATTTGGATGCTGTGTGATATTGTCGTGCGACATTCATGCTTCCTGTAGTTGTCCAAATGCCTGCTGATTGATTATACAATAAAACATTATTGTGAGAACCAATGCTGTTCTGTCCACCAGTAACTAACACTGATCCATTTGATAATATGGATGCTGTGTGAGCATATTGCGCGATACTCATGTTTCCTGACATTGTCCAATCTAAATAAGGTAGAAAAGTGAGAAAAAAATGTTGTTCTTAACATGATTTCAAACTGTCAATAAACTTCTCTTTGTTTTTACAGTTCAGATAAGATTCATTATGAAATATTAAATCAAATTAATGGAAAATATGTTATAAACGACTTCATTGATATTTTTCAAGTTCTATCGATGTCGCAAACTGATAAAACTCAACCAATGTCCTTCAATTCAGTTATGATAAATAATGATCGAATTTTAGAATTTGAGTGAAAGTCATTCTACATTGTTCAACATAGTGGAAATAAGATGTACTTTCGCCATCTTAGATGGATGGTATATGCATGTATCATGATGGAGGTAAAAATGGAGGTGACTGTGAGTAAGAGAATATAATTGTCGCATCGTTATCATCAGAAAATCAGTATATTACGGATCAATTGATGATGATGAAAGGCGTTCTTCTTGAATTTGAAGTCTGTATTTTCTACTTCTACGATATTTTTTGAATTACTCACCTCTATACAAATGCGAACTAAAACATGAAATTAGATGTTGATAGACATGCCCCATGTCAATATTATATCAACTAGTACTTCAACGTGTAGAATTATACTACGAGCATTCTGAAAGTAGGTAGAGTTATATCACATGAAGATCTTTTTATTAACAATACTTTCATCTAATACTGTTGGTCAGGACAAGAATACTCAATACTTAAATGAGTGTAGATCAAATCAAATCTTCAAAAACGGGCCCAATTTCGACGTCTGATAGGAAATGTTCCATAATATTGTCTACCTAGATGGCGATCAATCAGTAGCTAAAATCAAAACTTTTAAATATCGTCACTTCTAATAATCATCGTTTGAGTCACTGCAAATGATTTAACATAGTACTCACTCGATATTGATGTTGTTATTGTTGATGTTGATGTCGTAGTTGGTTCTGTTTGAGAAAAATCATTTTAGATTGAAACTAATCAATTGGAGGGTATGGATGGGTGGCTCTCGTGAGTGGGTGTGAATGCGAGTAGCTGTCTTCTCTTCACACACACTCTCTCGCCCACCTACATCTTTAAGATATTATATATATTTCTTACTTGACTTGATGCAGCTCATAGCTAGCCCGATCTGAGCTTAGACTTCAACGTCATTTCTATCTTTTTTGAATTAGAAGAGTTTTCTATGATTATCGCTAATAGTATTCAATTAAATTCAATACGAGAAAACGAGTAGGATCTATTATGTTAATGGTATTTTAGAGTTTCTTATAGATTGATCAACGGTCTTGAAGGGATTCATATCTAAAAGCCACCTTTATTCAAGGATATTCTGTCAAAATCGAAAACTCTACTTGTGTTGTATTTATTTGTATAGGAAGGAGTGATCCAACTGAGCTGAAAATTTCAGCTAATACTAACGTCACTATTATCTATAACATACAAAATATATTAAGCGAAATTTGGGATGTCGAATTACCACTGATATCTGATTTTCTCAGAGACTTTTTCTTCTACATGCTAAAAATTCCATTATGGATCTTAGAAATATCATGTATAAGTTGTTACGATAAATAATGAAGTTCTACTTCTGTCATTTGAAATAATTGATCGTACATTAACTTCAAAATAAATGATTATCTCATTTTAACTACCTGTTGTTACTTCCATTTCTTCTGTTGTTGATGGTTTTTCACTGTTTGTCTTTTTTGCTTTGACCATAACAATTGGAATTGTTATAATTATAACAAGTACAATAATAGTTAGTGTAATCCACATCACTTTTCTTCTTTTCAAATGTTCACATCTACAGGATAATAAATCATTTTTATCATTGTCTACAATTTGCAATATACATACAATGTTGTTGGTTGCGTTGTATTCGAGGTAACTGTTTCAGACTAAAATAATCAACAAAGACAAATATTTTATTTTATAATTTTTCTCTTTCTGAATAAATTACATCATTTTCAACTCCTATTCTGTTGTTCATTGTTGATATTTTGTTAAAAGTTCAATACTTTTACAATCTAAAATCGACAAAAAAGTTTTTTTTCATTTGTAGATTTTTAGTCATTAATAATGTAATTACAAAGAAGCTAAACTGTTTATTTGAATATCTTTTCACAAAGAATCATGCATGTTTCAAATAATATCTAATGATTCTTACCGACTGATCTTAAAAATTTTTCATTCCAATTGCAACTAGAAAATTGTTAAAATAATAAAAAAAAAGAACTATTATGCTCTTTCTTAAATAACCAGTTCTTTTATATGACGTAGATCATCGTGTTAATGATAAACATCATATATCAATAAAAACAATGAACTCACTTCCTTTTTCAATGTTAGTTTTCAAAAAAACTCTTTTTAGATAAAGTTGTTATTTCCTGTAAATATGAAACTCTTTGAGACAATATTTAGTGTCATTATTAGTTAATAAAACATAAAAAATCAGCGCTGTTCGAAGGATATGCATCATTTCCTCACAGAGAAAAAAACTGACGTTAAAATGTTTTTACTGTACACAAAAATTCTCTTAAAATTTATGATATTTATTGATTTAATTGGAGATCGAAGTAGGACATTCAGGAAAACAAAAACGATTAGTACTTGATCTTTACTTTGTTGTAGTCTACTAGATATGACTAGTCAATAGAGAAAACTATAACCATAATTTCATTACAACCATAGTCGTATGAAATACATAGATTCTTTGAACAGTTAATTTAGATGTGACTGTTGGTAATTGTGAATATTACATGTGTCTCTCAATACGGTTCGCACTATGAAGAGCTATTTATGTTCTTTTAAACATTTATCTCACTGGAGATTAACTTATGATTGAATATTTATGTAGAGAAAGTGAACATAAAAGAAACAGCAGTCATATCAATACTGAATTATTTTATCGACAAAATATCTTTTCAACAATAATTTGATGACTAACAATATAGTTATAACTTAACTCTGTATACTTTCAAATGAATAAATGAATGAAAAATAATAAAATATTTTGTTCAAATACATTATTTTCTCTCAGAAAACTTTGCATTTCCTTCAAAAGTGCTGATTTTCAATGTTTTCTTTTTCATAGAAATAATGATATTAGCTGTTATTTGAACTAGTTTAGTTTCACATGCTGTCTCATAGACTTCAACATTTACAAATATTTTACATAAAAACGCTTATATACAGTGAGTATCAGAATAATTCACTCAGTATTATCTTTGTTTTAAATCAAATCAAACAAATACATGAAAATAAATTGGAAGATATAATTTGAGAATCCTTTTCTCGATACTTAATAATTTAAAGAATATCGAACGTAGTTGATGATTCTACTAAATATAATTACAAAACTATGATATACATAGAAACGAGAAGAGTTCCATTTGATTTCTAATGATTAATGTTATTATTCATCAATCATTTGCTATAAACATTAATTTGAATGATAAAAAAACTCTTCTATGTATTACCAAAAACTGAACATTAGTAAAACAAGAAGTTTATTTTTTTCTCTATTCGCCTACATAATGGTGTTAATGGGAACTTTATTTTTTTTCTGACGTATTTGCGACAAATACAACATTTGCATTTATCAATAAATAAAAATAATGAATTCATTTCCTTTTTCAAAACCGATATGAAATCCCAGCAGGCATTATTTGCTGTAAATATAAAAAATGTTCATGATATTGAGATTTTGTCGGAAGGATGTGAAAAAAAGTGTTTCAAACAAAATTTAATGTTATTCTTGTTAAGAATACATCGAAAATCATGCCTTAACGAAGTAAATACAACGCTTCCACAAGAACAAAATATGGTCGTTATTTTATATTCAATTGAAAGAGAAAATATATTGCACAATTGATTTTATTCTTATTTCAGACAGTAGATCAATAATAAAAGTGTAGTTGTTTATCTTCAGAATGAATCTTCGTCAAATACTATTCAACAATTTGAATATTATCGAAACACATCAAATCTATGAGAAATAAATATATAAACAAAATAATTAGAATTCAGCAAGATTAACTAAAATCATAATTTTATTATTCTTTGAAATTGTTTATCATGACGAATAATTATGATCAAACTAAGATATTAATTATTTCTTTTATACATTTTAGAAATAGGAAACACTATAGAGAAGAAACATAAAACAATGAGTTAAAAGTGATTGACAGATGACATACGAAAAATATTCTATATTGGCATGTACAATAAAACAAAGAAAAGAAAACATTATACTGAGAGTAACATTGTGAGTAAATAATTGTAAAATGTTGAATACTTTCTTAAAAACAACGGCTTTATCTACTATTCGGTCGGAATTCAACTAAAAAAGTTAAAATTTTTTACTATGATGAAGGATTAAACTATCAAAGAAGAGTTAATTTATTGTATCAAATTCAAATAAATATTTAGAGATTTATTTTTCTAAAAAGAAAACTCTGTAGAATCTAAGATTAAATTGAATATTATGCAAATTTACTCTTTTTCTTAATTATCTGAATTTCTATTTATTCAACAAAAAAACTCAATGTATTTCATCAAATAAAAAATTTGTAATGAACAGAGGGTGTGTGTTCGGACAGCATAGTGTACAAAGACATCCACACCCAAACCCTCTCTCTACCCAATCCATGACTATCCTAAAGAAACCTTCTTTTTTATTTTATGCTACTCAAATATAACCGATGAGATGTAATGACATATGAAAGAAAACAAATCGAGATAAATATATACGCAAAGGTTTCATAATGAAAAATTATTGACGTAAAAGTCTTTTGTTGAGATTTACTCATATGTAGATTTAGAGTCAAATTTTTGTCATAAAGACGTATTGTATATCATAACATTCATCTGAAAGACGTCAGCAGATCTTATTTTTGCGTGGGTACCTTCACCACAGTCTAGTATTACATAATGTAAGCTGTAACAAACCCATACGTATATAAGACAATCAACTAAATTGAAGAAGATGCAAATTCTTCCATATTCAGTTAACAACTAATAACATATAATGCAGGTATCTGTTTTTACTATTGTTATTCTGTGTTCTATATGTGAGTATATAAATTGTGCTTGTGTTTTTAACACTTTCTGAATATTTAAAGTATCAAATCGGTTCAAAGCATTCAATGTTATGATTGTATTGGTGGGCTTGATGCTCACTGTAACGATCCGTTTGATAGAGAAAACGCTGGAAATATTAGTAAAATATCTATTTCAGCGAATGATCGATGTGCGGTATGTTTATTTATGTATCTGTATTATTTTAACTTTATGTTCTAATAGAAAGTTATAGTTAATAAAGAATTGGCTCGATTGGTATTTAGTGCTGATCTTTGTATAGCTGGTGACAATGGTTGTATTACAAAATCAAACAGCAAAGGAGAGGCAACTGTGTGTTGTTGCAACTCCGATTTATGCAATGGTTCATCGTCAATTTTACTACGATCATCACTTTTTTCTGCTGTTAGTGTCCTAATCCTGAGCATATTTGAATATATTATTTAGGTAGTTTTTCGACGAAGATCTTTCAACATTAAATCTCATTATCAGACATGAAACTTTTTTATACTTTTCTGTCAAGAAATTTCAATGATTACTAATTGTTGTTATTTTGTTTTTGAAATGATAATAAAAAAACAGATAAGCAAATAATCTTTATAATTATATAAAGTTAATATAGACAACCCCTTGTTACTCTTTTGTTAGATATTTCAAAATAAAATCAAACTAATGATAACTATAGTTGAGAGATTTTTATAATATGTAATTCATTAGTCAGTAAAAGAAAAAGCTAGGTTATTATTCGTTGCAAGTGTTATGAAAAACGTACAAGTCACTAGAATCGGATTTCGTACAGGGGTGTAGATGTGGGTATCTCTATCCTTAACTCACCCACACCCACCCTTTACAAAAAAAATGAATGCCTGAAAATGTGCTCTTTTTACAATTTTATTTTCGATAAAATTTTAACGCGTTATTACGCATTTTTTTTCGGTGCTTGTCTGGTTGGAAGGAAGAAAAAGGACGAAAGAAAAATAACGTGCTTATATTGCTTGGTTTTTTTCTGTGTTCTATCATTATTCAGCATTATTCTCATTAAAGGTCATGTTTTATCTACGAATATAGAAGATAGGTGTGTTGTAATTTGTTCATAGACATAAGAAAACAACAATAATGGTAAATATGTTTCGTTCGTTTTCATTTATCTAATAGCAAACTGAATCATTATAAGAAAAAAAATCTCATTCTATTCTTTTTAGGATAACGATTCAGAAGAAAGAGATAAGAAGATTTCTGGCAATGGTGATCGAAGTAGAGATCCTCCACCTTGTAAGTTACTTTACTTATATTTCTTCTCTAATAATTAATTCATATGTATATCATATTCAAGTTCTGGATGAATGTCCCAGTGAAACTGTTGGTATAGAATCTATGTATGTATGTTTTGGTCGACGTTATGATGCTTGTCCGGCATTCTTCACTGGTTCTCTTCAAGAAGCTTGTGAAGAGGCGCTCAGCTCAACGACGATTACAGAAGTTTGTTTTGATGACTATATAAAGTAAATCATCTTTCTTCTATTGCAGCGTCGACCAGTACTGATTTATGTACATCATGACCGAAGCGACTTCAGTAATATATTTTGCTCGAAAATGTTCTGTTCAACAGTTATTATGGACTACTTACTGGAGAACTATATTGTTTGGCCGTGGGATATTACCTATGACTCAAATAGAAAGAAGTAAGCGTATTTTTTTATTAGACTTGAGCAATTCTTCAGGGAATGATCGAAAAGTCCTGCAACGTTTAGATTGATGAAAATTTTGCAGGAAGTCTTTCCTTCTGAAGCTCTTAGAGATTTTGATATGGAGAAATGTCCAATGTTAATTGGTGTTATGCGACCATGTGGAGAAGAAGAAGAGGATGGATTATTCATCAATGAATATCAATCGAAAACATTACTTCAAAATGCTACAATAACTCTTGGAGAGTTAAAAAATAAATTAGTTATTTTCAAAAAAGAATGCGATACGAATGAACAGACTCAAGTAAGTTTTTGCATCTGCACAAGCAATAAGAAGAAGATGAACACAAATTTATATATATATATATATATATCGTCTTAATTTGTTTTAGCCACGAGATGTGCATAAAAAGCCCCGTATTCACTGGGATGTAGCTCTTGAAATAGCAAAATATTTGTCATTGAACGATGCGATCAATGTCTTTTCACCCAATGTTCTTCCTTTATTACGTAGATTTCAAATGAATGTGCAACTTGTTGAGCCGTCTGATTCATTCATCAAGATGGTTCTTCAAAAATTAAATCCATCACAAGCAGTTTCTGTACGATTCAATGCGGAAGATCGATTACTGAATACCGATTTTAACCTGTTGAATAGGTTCGATCAAGTAACTTCCGTCTCATTAGTTCATTATCATTCCATACATGAATTCATATTCCATAAAATACTTTTCCCCAACATCACTTCTCTTTCGCTTTGGTATGACAACGAAATTGCTTTTGATGCAATCCGTAATATGATTATTCGACTTCCGACGCAAATCAAACGATTTCAACTACACAGTTCAGCAGAATTTTGTGCTCATCGTTCTCCAAATCAGACAAACTCAAGTAGTGAAATAAATCGTACACTCGAATATCTTCTGATTGATATGACGCATTTTCCATTCACTACACAAAATGATTGTCAGCAAAAATATGCATCATGTTTATTAATGACAATAATTGATCTTATCAGAAGTATGACTGCTCTCAAACGTGTGTGTTTTATTACTAACACAGAGAGTTTCATGAATATATTGGATGTCGATGAATGGAGAAAATTAGTGTGTTCCTTTTTTAAACCTGAACAAGTGACATTGCGAGTATTAGGAGGTGGGCTGGACAAAAATTTAATTATGAAAATGGTATCAGAAATACAAAATCTATTCGAACAAACAATGAAATTTCGAATGATATCTGTATAATTGCTATTTTTTTCTATTTTAACATGAAAAATATACTAGAAGTTTTGAAACGATTAGGTTACAGTAAGATCAGACGCAGAGAATGAAAATTTTTTTCGTCGTATTTACTTTTGTGTCGATTTATTGATTATGAAATATTATTCATAACAGGCACTGGAAATCAGGAACAGACTAAAATCAATTATAAAGCACTATAGGACATGAATGTGAATGAGAAACGCACACAATACTTATACACTCATCCACCCATACTAGACAGCGACTCGTTTTAATTGGAAAGAAAATACGCATATATTTTCAAGTGGTAGAAAGCCCGTAGGGTTTAATATTGTAATTTATTTTTTCTTAATTCTCTACTACCTTTATAAAGGTAATATTTTCTTCTACAGGCTTTGAAATTGGATTCTATTTCGTTTTACACATCGAAAAGATTTATTCAATGTTATTTTCTATGATATTTCTGTGTTTGATTGCATTCTTATGCATTGAGATCAACACTTCTTTATCATCAGATGCTCCTTGTCTTCATGCTAAATGGCATTCAAAAAATGGAGCGAATATTATCAATAATTTAGGCATTCTCGACGATGGAATGCACGAAATGCATCGTTTAGTTATTGCAATGGATTCTTATGACAACCTGATTGTTGCCTCAGATCTTTCCATGCGAAAATATTTTCTGAATGGTACTATTCAAACATTAGCTTATGGTAGTGTCGCTGATGCAATGTTTATTGATCGTTTTGACAATATATATTATAATACTGATTATACTCTTTACAAGTTAGATCAAAATGGAAACATAACAATAGTTGCTGGTCTAACACCTGGCTTTGATCTTGATCAATTGTCTGATGTAAGTGGAATTTATGTTGACAAGCAGGGAACAACCTATATTTCTGATAAAGATAATCAGAGAATAGTGAAGTATCCGATTAATGCAATAAACGGTACGATTGTTGTTGGTAGTGATGATGGTAAACAACTTGACAACCCATTAGGAATCTTTGTCGATGAAAATGATAACCGAAACCATTTATATGTTTGTGATACAAATAACCATAGAATTCGACGATTTACATTAAATTCTACTGAAAGTATAACAATTATTGGAAAAAATAATCATTCTATGTTTGATGATTCATTCTTTCCACATAATGTGTTTGTTGATTCTAATGGTGTTGTGTATGTAGCACATAAAAGAGGATTATTTAAATGGTTACCAATACAGAAAAGTATACAAATCATTCTTGAATGGAAACGTCCAGAATTTTTCGACGATTGGATAGAACATCCAATATCTTTTGCATTTGATTCAAACTGGAATCTCTACGTTACAGATAGAGAAAATGGTTCTATCAAAAAATTTCTCTTTGATAGCAATTCATGCAAATAATTAACAACAACAAAAGTTTCAATATGAATAAAAAATAATCTAAATCACATCATGAGGGTATGAATGAATTGGAAAGATAATAAATATAAAGAGTTCAAGCATTATTAAACACTTTATTCATCTACATTAATATCGAAAATAATTCGATAGATATATCTAGAATTAAATGGTTATTTCATGAAATCTTTATTTTATCCAGTTTTTCTTGTCGATCTAGAGCGTTTTGATCCTTGAGCAATATTACGATCCTTAGCTGCCAATGCTAATATATAGATTGCATCAGGTATTTGTTTAGAAAATATTTCTAAATCATATTTACGCGTCCAAAGTAATAAGATCCAACGTCGACGAAATTGTGCTAATATAGTTTCTTAATTTTGATTATGAAATTTTGTTTCCATAACCATACTTTCTGCATTCCATTCGATAGTATATTGATCATCAAAAAATTTAAAATGTCTTCGAATTCGTCCATTCATTCATTTGACGAAGAATCAAAAATTGAAATATTGGCTTCATATAACAAAGCAAGCCATGGCATATGAAGTTTTGCAATTATTTGATTCGATTCGATATTGTTGTTGTTGTTGTTCATTAGGATCATAGAAGGATGAAATTATTAAAAAATAGAATCGATTATAGAGAGCGAACGTATTTAATTTTTTTGTCA